GACTGTTGTTATCCATTCTGATACAAATATAGTTATTGTCATAGCTATAAGAGCCTCCGAGAAGATTTTTCGAATAAAGTCGGCAAAGGTAGAAAAATATGAACGTTACCTTTACATTTGCGTCCGCCCTCTTGGACCAGACATATCTCCTCTTGACTTCTACATTCCTTGTCATAGTAACAAGGGGCAATCGTCATGTAAACGGCTGTTTTAAAGTCCATCATATTCTCTGGGGACAACTCTGCGTTCATGGTATTCATCTCACAAGTCTCTGTTGTTTGGTAATAGTTTATGCTTTTACATTTGGGCCTCTCTTTGCAGAATATCACGCAAGATTTGATGGTTGCGAATGGTTCGGTGGCGAACGCGTGATTTGTCAAGACGCGATTTTGAGAGGAGTAGGTAACGTTTTGGCATTGCGCGCCTGAAGAGAATGACACACGTACTTGCCAAAAAATAATCACAACGTAAGTTGCTATGACGTCTTTAGTGAGGGATGCAGTCATTTTCCTAAAACAAACAAACAAAAAAAAAAGATTAAGAAAAACGAAAAGGACTTGAGATTATCATCAATTTTTTTCCTTTTCTTGTTAAGAAAACGAAAAGTGCTTTTACTTAAGTCCTTTCAAGCACAATTTTCTATAAAGGACGTTTGGTTTGGTGATTTTCTATTGAAGATAAAGCTCCTGGTATTTCATACAGCTGAAGACTTGATTAAGTCAGAGGAGAGTGGAATTGAGCACAGGAAAGCGGTAAGAAATACTTTTCATCTCTCCTTTTACAAAATAATTTAAACAAGTATCAGGGCAAAGCCTTATTTAGGGGTTTTGTCAGCTAACGTTGACAGAAAAAGGGAATACATTCTTCATCAATCATGCAATAGTAGCTCCTTTTCCTATTCCCGCCTCAAAGCAAAGACCGTTGCCCTTACACGTTGTAACTAAAGATTCGAAATATCTCCCCGTAGCGGTTTCATATCCGTCACCAAATACTATGTAATTTAAATTCAAAGTCGCAAAAGTTAAGTAAAATCTAATGACAGGAAACATATGACTTACCGCTGGTGAGTTTTCCTTTTGCAACCTCACTTGTCATTAATTCTCTGCAAGAAGTCTCTGGGCTAGCAAGAGAAAACAGAAAGTTCTTGAGAAAAATTCTAACTGCCGAATCAAATTGAAACACAACGGGTTGTCTTTCCACGAAGAATACATATACAAACCACGCATTGTTAAGTGTGGGAGCGCACTAAAAATTCCATATCTCGTTCATTATTCAACACATCTAACAGTGCAGACAGACGGTAGGATGCCAGCGACGTCTTCAGAGAGCCAGCAAGCTTTAGCGCACGATACTAGCAGGTTTTTATTCTTGAACTCTTTTCTCTGCAAGGTTGAGCAAACTCGCTGGTTTTAAGAAGATAAACATTTTCCCGAGGTTGCACATGATAAAGTAAACTAAATCAGAGGATAAGATAATTTTTTCCGATTTTTACTGTCATGCAAACATGAGATTTCTACTTTGTTTAGTTATATTATATCGAGTCCAAAATTATCAATTTGTTCACACAATATGAAATACATTAAGAACAAAGGTTAAGTTAAAAAAGGTATAGAGAATGAAAATGAGGCATGAAAATGTGGCTCCTTACTGAACGAAATCCTGTTATTTATTGATAATAAAAGATTCAAAGCTCTGACATGATAAAAATCATTATGACAGTTACGGTACAATTTCACTTAGCAGTTGTTGTTTACACGCGAAGTCAGTCGTTCGCTGAGTTACAGAGTCATTACTTGACTGACCAGCTGGGAGACAACTAGATAAAAAAGAGTTTTAAATTTGAAAAAATGAGCGTTTTTCTCATCATTGGTCGATATGGCTAGATTACCAACAGAACGAAGTTGTAGAAAAAACCGTAAAAGGACCTGTATCACGTTCGAAGCACCAAATAGTGGTCCTATTGATGGGGTTGTTCCCAAAGCAGAGTTCAGCGGTATGAGATGCTTATCCGCATTTTAATTTTTCTTAATTTGTTGGTTGCAAAACTGCAAATTTGAATGTCAAATTTTTAATTGAAGTTTTGGCTAAAACTGCATATCAGGCGAAGGGACTTACTAGATGTGTTACAAAGTTTCGCTTCAACAAACAATGTTAATTCCCTCGCAGCAGAACTAATTAACATCAAACATTTTGAATAGATTACTCAGGTGGCGCCCGAGGTATATGACCATGTTTTGTTAACATCAAAATTAAGGTTATTGTCTAGATTGTTCCACTCATTGATGCTTCAAAAAACAAAATATTGCGTTGTTGATGGGCTCTCTGGAAGGATGTTAATAATTTATGTTGCGCCTCAAAACACTCGTTAACTTATTCTTCTGATCGCCTGGCTCACAGGATATATTGATGATATGGAAACCTAAAAGCTAAAAGCAAATTTCCACTAAGCTTATGTGGAATATCGCTGATATGACGCATCTAGTTTTCAATCTTCAAGCGTGTAGATAAAATTATTGGGCATTAAAAAGATATTTAAAGTCCCTATGACAAAGCATATGTTCACAATATTTGGGCTTATAAAAACAACAATTTAACTTTTGATGTATTATGCGATAATAAAACCCTGTCTTGCTCTCCTATGACGCAAAGAGGGAGAAGAACTGTTGTGGCCAATTGTTTTTAGTTTGATTGATGTTTGATGCTTAAATTCAAATTTCCATTTTCTAGATTGCTTTCTTAGCGCTTTAAAGTTGACAGCTAACTCAGAGTCTTACGTCAGTCTCCCAGTCAAATAACAACCCAATTCCTTGAAGCCATGGCTTCACAACCATGAATACTTTCGGTTGGTCAGAACCCTATGTAGGCCAGTTTATTTCGTATTCTATGAAGTATCGCCTTTGTCAAAAAGATATGTTAAAATAAGTCAGGGACTTAAAAAATTGGAATAGTCGTACCTATGTCGGAAAATTTGACATAATACTCATTCCGTCTTGAACGGCAGTTGAATATCAGATCTCACAGATCATTAAGATCCGGCCCGAATTCATACGCAATTAGCACCTCTTCTTTTCTCTGTCTCACTTACATACATCAAATTTACCTCAAATTTACTTCATATTTACTTTGATTCTTAGTCTTCCTTCTTCTCTCTAACTTCCAAGTAAACTATAAAATACATGCTTATATATTCACCATCGGTAGGCATGACTGGGGCTTGCTGGTAAGCTGACTTGAAAGATTAAACGTTTGTTGTCATAACACTAACCCAAACACAGACACAGTGCGCACTTATTTAAATGCAAATTACTCTTCAATGTATCTTAGCCTACCCATGATATTGTGACGGCCCTATTTTTTTTTTCATCGATTTAAGTTCAAGAATATACTATGATTTTTATCGCGAATGGCAACTACACGTGATTTCCATAAAATCTAGTTTTTTATAAGTCCCTTCATGACAGCTTCATCCAGTAACCCATGACACAAATACATCCCGCCTGTATTTTCACTCTATTTCACAGACATCCAAAGACAATTTCCTCTTTCAATAATTTACCTTAAATTATAATAACGAACGATAAAGTCGAATTATAACGTGGATACTTACTTAGTTCTTCGAAAAGCAATGAAACCTGGAAAAGACAAGGAAGACTTTCCACTTGCCATAGGAGGCTAAAAAAAAAAATGATTACGACATCGGATTGTGTGTGCGTCGCAACATGCCATATGAATTGAGTGGGAGTATTTGTAATCGTTTTTTAACTCGTGGGATGAGTGATAAAGGTATTTGATATTCAAATTTCGAGGTACTGATATTTGCAACTGAAGACACTGGGAAGAGCAGGCATCTTATTAAAGATGGCGGACCGATTTTTTAACATGGCGGATCAAAATTTTGGCAGACTTTTGTGGGGTTGACGGCTTAATCTTCTTCTTGGAATCACATGATTATTAGCGGAAAGATTTCCGTATAATCCATTGAACACTCCTCTAAAAGGTAAACTATCGTTTCTGCTTAATGTAAGTTTTCTTTATAAAATATTTGTATGCATACTGAAGTATCGTACAAATCTTGCCTCATTGCATCTAAGTAACATCGCTATATATCCCAACCACACCCTGCTTAGCATATATGTTCACCATCGCGTTACTTCGAGTTCCGAATTGCTGCTTGAACACTGCAATTGTGGGCACCTGCAAAATTGCCATCCATGAATGATCATTTCATCGCTGGGTTCAACTTTTTTTTTTGCACATTTTTTAATCATATGAGTCGTTTGTTGAAATTACTATGTCAAGTAGCATCAAAACAACTTTTAAGCTTCCCTTGTCGTAATTATTGATCCATGATCAATTGTTCATGCAAGTTATATGATCTTGGCTTCAACGCCTTAGTTTTGCAATAACCATGAATACCCAAGTCCTTTTTGCCTTAAGTATATAAGTTCAATGACAATCTCAGCAGGAGCATATTTGCTAGAAATCTTTACAAATAATAATCCTAGTAACAAATTAATAAAAGTTTATGTCCAATTGTACAAATTGTGAATTGTTTAACTCTCGTAAAGAACCCGCAGTCTTTTGAAACCGATTACAACAGCTAAATTCTGTGACCTCCAACTGCAAATCTAATTAGTACGAGTCTGATACCTAGGTCAAGATAAAGTTTGAAAGTTGCTATTCCAACCGAACTGGGGCTGAAGCAGTTATTGAAGGAAACAGCCGCACAACTCTGCCCTAATGGCTCTGTATTGATAGACCCGACAATAGACCCAGGGCCTGACAAAGCGGGCCCTGATGTGCTGTGGCAACACATTTTTTTTTATTTAATAAACATTTATTGAAGAAACATTTGTACAGAACTAAACTTACATTTCATTACTCTACTTACATTACTCGACATCGCTCTACTCATTACATTACTGTGCTTATTGGATTATGATTTACAATACATTACAAAACAAAACTCGCAGTTCGCTAATTAAGCTCACTTGCCTACTTATAATTACTTGAATACTTTACAAAACGGCACGTACTAACTACTTGTGGTTTGAATTCATTTCCTGGTCAATTGAAAGTTACGAATTTGCCTTTCTAACCGTATTGGAACCGAAGCAGTTACTGAAGGAAACAGCCGTACACCTCTGCCCTCATGGCTCTGTATATATAGGTCCAAGTCTTAGGCCAGAACCTGACGAAACGAGCCCTGATGTGCTGTGGCAGTACATGGGAAATTACTGTTGTCTGATCATTGTTACCTTGAAATACCTGGAAATATTATAGATGTTTATAAGTATCACTTTACCGAGTTCTTATCGGAATCATTGAAAGATTTCTCTCTTCACTTCTTTCCAAAGTGCGTAGCAAGGAAATTGGACCACTTGAAAAAAAATCTCATCCTCGAAAGAAGAGCCGAATGTTTCAACAAAACTTGACGAGGGTTGTAGCTATAAATGTTTCATTTTCAGATCGCTCGATAAACTCATTGATTCATTCATCGATTCAATTAAATCAGAGAAAAAAGAAAAAGAGGACTTCAAATTCCTTCACAAGCGCAATAATAAATATTATTACACAAACACCGCAGAACAATTTTTATGTCTTCTCTTCGGGTCCAGAATATAGAAAAATGTGACCTTTTAATGATAATTTTTCCAAATAATTGATTTTATTAGATATATCAAATGCCAGACAAATGACTCACCTTTACATCGTCCTTCTCTTTATACGCCATCCAGTCAGTGTCTCCATTGGCACGTGATGAAAGCGTATAAGTCCTTACCCACTGATAGGCACCAAGCTTCCCCTGAGTAGCGATTTTCTTGATCACCGCGTCCTTTCCGAGGTCAACTTGAATCCAGGGCTCAGGGTCACTGTGGTCCGCAACCCAAGCAGAAGGTGAGTTGAGACGAAAGAGACTGGCTTGTGCTCCCGATGAAGCAGTTATAGATGAATCTGGGATTATTTTATCTTCCAGGCCAAGGGCCTCCATACATACTTACAAAAGAAGAGAAGATAAAAATTCTTTGTAAAGCTTCCTTTCAATAATTAAAATCAGTCAAACGATATGTCCTAATCATTCTTTACATTTGGAGGAGCAAACAATTCCTGGTGATCATCCACTCTCTACCCCTCCCCTCCCCTCCCCTCCCATCCCCTCCCATCCCCTCCCCTCCCCTTCCTTACCACCATCACCACCACCACCGCCACCATAATACCAACAGCAGCGACAATAACATTTGCTAAAAAGGAAGTGATTTCTTTTTAGGTCCTGAAATTTTCAGACATTTCTGATGGCATTCCAGAACAGGTTGCATGTTTCATTCCATTTTTCGAGACCACAAAATTGAACAACTGGGGCTGTTGCCTACGATATTTGCGCTTCAAATCAGTTGCGTGCGCAATTTATAGACACCAATGAATTAAATATACTTTTCTACTTCTATTTCTATTTCTAGGCATTGTTGTAAAAATAGAGATTATCTTCCAAATATGATACTGACCTGCGCTAGTTAATTTACACGACATTTCCAATTTAAAAGGAAATTTTTGAAAAGATGTTAGCTTTACTTATGTATTTGCTTTTGTGCATCACAAGCTGGCTGATCTTTCCTTGCTGTTCACATTCATTGTCAAAATAACAAGAGACTAAAAACAAAATCCCAATATTACCTTTACAGTAGCTCCAGCCCTCCATCACCTGACATATCCTCCCTTGTCCTTCACATTCAAAGTCAAGGTGACAGGGTGAAAAGGCATTGGTCATGTACATTGACAATTCAAAGTCCACCATGCTCTCAGGAGACACTACAGCACTGACGTTATTCAACTCACAAGTCTTTGTTTTTCGATAATAATTTATGCTTTTACAATTGGGATCCTCGCCGCAGAGTATCACGCAACATTCCATGGTTGCACATGGCTTGGTGCGAAATGCGTGACCTGTCAAGACGCGATTTTGAATGGAGTAGGTTGCCCCTTGGCATTGCGTGACTGAAGATAACGTGTCACGCACTTGCCAATAGATGAGCACAGACCATGTTGCAATGGCGCCTTTACTGAGAGGCATAATCACTTTCCTAGAAGGAAATAAAGAATTAAGTAAAATAGAAAAGTTATGAATGACAATTAAATGACCTTTCCCTGAAGAAAATCGGTTAGACCTTTCAGAAGAAACGTATAATCGTTTGTCTCACGATGCGGAAATGAATCGTGTCGTTTCGACTGCATACTCTTAGTCTTCTTCAGACGATGAGGTCGATTGAGTACGCGTCATCCTTACACCTTGCGTAGAAGAAAGCGGGCTGTGAGAACGATTTTAATTTATCCTAACAGGTTTGATGTGATGATATTCCATTCTTTAGCAAATTATTCTTGGTGTTTCAAATGGTAGACGAGAAATCACATCACAAAATGGAGTAAATTTACAGAAATTCTGTAAGAACACATGTCAAACACAATGAATTTCTTTTACATTTCCGTTTTTTACAAGTAAAAATAAAATGGGTATTGAGGATGTCTTATTGGACGTTTCCTTGACCTTACTATGACAGAAAAAAAAAAGAATTGCGGTTCCACTTTGAGCAATGTAAAACCTTTATTATTTGAGTATAACTTATAGCATTGAGAAGGGAAATTGACATCTCCCAAGTAAAACAAACAAAAAAGAGAAATGGAAATCTTCGCTGGAAACTTCGTTCATTAAATAGTTCATCGTTCCATCTGGAGTTTTACAGGATGCTTTCATTGAAAGCGCTTCGAGGAACTCTTTGCGAAGGCCGAGGTGAAAACAACGCTGAAGTTTAAGACTGGGGTAGTCATGCTTAATCTAAAATAAAGATTTAGCGAAGCCTGGATGTGGAGCTCCAGTTTCTTTATTTGCTATCTCTTTAATTTCTTAGAGCTCCTTACTGGCTGTTGAAGAGTTTATTCACTGGAAGAAGATCGGTTACTACCATCTTTTTATAAGTATAGGGCCTCGCTGCGTGCTAGCTTCGCGCGCTCTAAAATCTGCTATTAAATAAAGGCAGCCTTATTTTTGTTCACACCCATAAAGTTTACAATGTTTCTAACTGAGATGTGGGAAGGTTCTGCGATCCTCGTCCCACGCCATCCATACTAAAAAAGTTTCTTTCAATTATTTTTTTAGCCTATTTTCTCCGAGTGTAGTGTTCAACTCTCCTGTCAAACTTTCATTCTGTGTTTTCCTTCAGGGCAAAGTTATTTTTTAACCGTGATGTACAACTTAATATTTCCCTAGAGCTTCTTAATCAGTGATGGGATAAAAATATTTAAATTCAGAAGCCGCCCACAAGTTACGTCAAATCTAATGAAAGGAAAATTAAAACTCACCGTAGCTGAGTCTTTCGTTACGTTTGACTTGTGTACGATTCTCAAGTAAGAAATACCCTGTTTAGCTGGGGAAGAAAGAAAGTGCGTAGGCTTATGAATAAAACCAAATCAAAATTGAAACTTAATAGCATATCTCTCTAAGTAAAATACAAACAAAGCGTTGTTAAGTGTGGGAGTGCAATAAAGACTTCCAGATTACCTTTCATCACCAAACACAATGAACACAGAATGGAAAATGCTCAGCAACGCCAACAGCTAATAAGCTAACTCTACATTAGGTTCCATGTTTTCATTCTCTCACAGTGGAACGAAATATCTTGAAAATTTTAGAATAGATAAACAGCATGCTTTTAATAACAAGCTCTCAAAGGGGATGTGAATAATTTATGTGACGCTTTCAAACACTCGGTAGCTCAGTCATCTGTTCACCTGGTAGCTAGGATGGCTATCTATATGATGTACGGAAAGGCAAAAATTTCACTACTAATTCACATTCATAGTTTTCGTAAGAATCCATTTGCAGAACAGTATTTCAGCCGTCTATTGGACGAGCGGGCTCTCAACGAGAAAAAAGAAAGAGAAAAACACACCATTATTATTATTCTGTTATCTTTCTCTTTTAGTGGGGCAAATTACTGAGTAAATTTCTCACCCTCATACATCTTTAATCGTGCGTTGATTCAGAAATAAGCACTTCTGAAATTCAGAAAAGTGAGGTTTACGAAGCCTTGAGGGCCAATTTTGGCCCATTCTTCCCTCATTTAATTAAGGTTCTTCAAAGCAAGATCGCGTTCAAATTTGCTGCTTTATTGGTTATGGATAAATGATGTCCACGCATTCTGCCCCATGTAATAAATTACTTTGCGAAGCTTTAACGTTTTGCCTCGAAAATAGACGATGTTTTTTTCCACAAATTGAACTTTACTACTCAATATAATAGAAACTATAAAAAACGAATTTCGCTCACTGAAGCGAAAGGTCTAACTGTCTCTAAGGGGAAATCGACTTTCCTTTGAAAAGCACCAACCACTCTTTGCCATCGCAGCGTGGACGGCAAAAGAGTGAAAAAGAAAGTTCCGAGACAGATACGTGATTATTATTATTAAGCGATCTATGATCGTATTCACTTAAAGCAGAGAATGGATAAATCACGGCACCCAGTTCAATATTCAGGGTTCTTTTCCCATTAATAACTATAGTGATCAACTCGACTTCATAAAAAAACGTTCGAACATAATTATTAGCGAGCAAACCAAGGACGCATTAAGCCATGCAAACGTCAAGGCTAGAAATTAATGCTGATATGCGGGAAAGAGCGAAGCATGCACTCCGACACTAAGAGCGTTTTTCTTCGTCTTGTTTTAAGAGAGGGACAAGGAAATAACATCATAAGTTTATGTTTGGTGGCCATTTTAAAAATAAGATTACCCTTCTCGGGTGTCCTTTGCGGAAAATTGTAAACATGTTACTCGAAGCAGAACCAATGTAGCAACTAGAATTTACATAACAGTCTTATTACCTCATCACCATGTGTTTGATTCATTCCCAAGTTATACGTTGACATCAACTCAAATCGTTTTTGTTATCGTCATCTACGTTAGTTTTTGTTACTGCGACCGAGTTACTTATCCATTCTCTTAGAGTTTTATTGACATAAGATCAGAACGCCACAGATTGTAAGTTTGTTGAGTCTTTTGGTTATATTTTTTAGTCAGGTATTTGCATTAATCTGTTTTAAGTTGAATCACCTCTTTATGCACATCTATCTGGTTAATTTAATATCTGTGCATTCGACATCTTGACGTAGAACACGTAGAATTTAACTTAAACCACCATAAAAGATATATCAAAGGAGAGATTATGAAATACGCTTTCGATCCAGCAAATATGGAACCGTTTTAGCTTTATGTAATCGTAAACCGACTGCTCGAGGCAAATTAAAACAGACGATAATTCTTTGAGCGCATTAAATGTGATCACATATGATCGCACAAATAACACTTCAGCACAGTTTCAATCTTGAAGGTTGGTCTTCAAAACCGTGAGAAGATTTTTTGATATTCTGTTTGGTTACTTTGCAGTTTTTCTGTCGAGTTGCTTATCGAAATTTTTCTGTCGGCCATTGCAGGAGATCATATTCAAAAAAGTGAAATCCTTTAATTTGATTTTTGTGGGTTAGTATCCTGAGAGTGTTCGGATCAAATTTCAAGGCACCTATAGTTTTCCTATAAAACTCGTTCAAAGACGACACAGGAGTAAGGAAGGGTTTATTTTTTTTGCTTCAAAATTTCTGCCGACACTGATTTCACGCCTTTGCGTGACCTCGATCGTATCAAGTAATGTCAACACTGAAATATGGAAATGTTGACCGCAAATAGAAACACAAATGAGCCTGAAGAGACTCAGAAGCAGCTTGTTAGCTAGCACGTCACAGCAAAACTCGTTAATGGTTGCTGGTCGGCTGCGAGCAGCTAAGATTGCTCAGACCACAAGGCCTTATCCGTTTCGGTGAGATCTTTCGCCTTTCTTCGCTGAATTTCTTTTAAGTCTTGCGGGAACAGTCAAACTTCTTTTTTAATTTTACCAAAGGACTCTTCTCCTTTTTGTCCTTCCCAAATTCACATTCTTATTCTTTCTGGAACTTTAGTAAAGATACTAATGCTTAGTTTCACTTGAAAGACTGTATCTTTAAAAACCCTAATGTGATTATCATATTTCTTATCATGTGTCAAAACATCTTGCTTCCGCTAGATATCAGAGGCTGCAGTTCAACTATCATGATCTCATCACTTCCCCTTTTAGTATCTGTACTGGATTTAGGTGCGATATTCTTCACTGTACGAATGATGCAGAGATGTTTCAGAGACAAAAAGAAGCAAAGGTTTATTAAAAAGTGTAAAATATTGGGCTCTTTTCAGTGCGTTTGTCAAGTCACAATTCTTTTCTCGGATGTCACAGAATCATGGAATGGTTTCAGTGTTCAAGGCAAAGATTCCTGCAATGTCTTCAGGGTGTTGTCCCTTTCTATGACGTTCTTCCAAACTGGCAACTTAACGGCGATCTTAACAGTCTATCACGAACACTCTGTAGGATACGAGAACCGGGATTTAAATTCAAATCTCCGAATGTTTGCAGTGCTCATTTTGGGTTTCGCTGGCTCTTTAATGATATGGTGGCACAATTGTTTCGCTAAAGCAGCCGTTTCTCAAGCAGCCCTCGAAGTTGCTTTGTTTCTGACGATGTTACTGATTTTTTTGCTACTTGTTGTGGCTCTGGTTAAAAACAATGATGAAGATAACTTGAAAACCACTTCACCAGAATCAGACATGGCGACACATTCGTGCTCTCTGCTATGGAAGTTACTTAGAGTTAACAAGAAGCCTCTCTTCTTCATAGTTTTAATATTTTCTTGTTTAGGTGCATTGATACGCAGGCTTCCCTGTTCGATACCACTTCTTTGCCAGGACTTTGACCGAGGAATATTATTGGACGTAGTCCTTTATTCCTTGATTACCAAGTTTGTTGTGGGAATAGTTTTACCCATAATACTGCATGATTTGATTAATTCGAGCGATCTAGACTGAGAGATAAAGGGATAGACAATGTTACTTAAAGACAAACTCAAAACTTGACGATGAGCAGTGTTACTGAAGCAGAAGTTCGTTATATGGAGCTCGCGTTCTTGAACTGACCCTGTCATAGAGTTTTAAGTTTCCCTTGGAAATGTGACAGGTTGATTACAAAAATTGAATACGTCCCTAATTTAATTCGTATTCACATAGTTGTAAAAAATGAAAAACCATCCAATGTTTTTTCTCCACATTTTTATTTCAATTAATAGATACAAATACACATTGTAACACATGTCAATGGCTATTTCTTATTTAATACAAACGAAAGTTGTGTAACGATTCATATTCTAATGGAAGGGAGCCCATGATTAATGAATAATTTTCATTTAGCCTAATATTTCTCATCTGCATTGTTTTTAAAGCATTATATCGTGCAGTCTTATATTTCACATTTATCAATCCCTAAAATAAGTCAATGTTTGGGTTGACACTTCGTCAACGTCTTGTCCCATGGGATATGACACTTTGCAAATCAACATGTGATTTGATAAATCACTTTCCTCATCCAATTTACCCAGTAGAATATCCTGAAGAGTGATTTCGACATTCCTATCAGAAAGCCAAAAAAAAGGTAATGTCTGCTCCGATGAAATTTGATGATCGTTAAGATCTCCAGGATCCAGTGTGTGCTTTAATGATCACGTTTGTTTTTCGAAGCTGACTAGCAGACTGTTGAACGTGTGTAGAAAATAACTGAAGCACTTGGTGAGCTTTTCAAAAGACTAGTAAAAAACTTTTTATCAGTTGCGCACATTGCCCTTTTTTCTTTTCTTTTTACATCAGGGGTTTTCATTTTCTTAAAAAAATGAGTAGTCCTTTTGCAGAGCTCACACTACCTAGATTCACTACTTACTATTATACCGTCTAGCTATAGTTAATTTCTAGGTCAATTGAGGCTTTGAAGTTGCTGTTCCAGTTGTTTTGGTGCTAAAGCAGTCACTGAATAAACAGCCGTACAGCTCTGCCCTTATCGA